CCCGAACATACCACAAAAAACCCCAAACTGGTACACATGTGACAATTTTACCCCGAACTAATTTTTAATATTATTTTTAATTTTTTTGAATTTTTTATTCTTTTCTTTTCTTTTCTTTTCTTTTTCTTCAATTTCAACCTCTGGCCGGTCGCCGGTCCGGCGACCGGCCAGAGGCGGAAGCCGGCAAGGGCCGCCGCTCGGGCTGGTGGCGAGGGCCGCCTCGCTCGACTCCTAAGAAGGCGCGACTCGCGGATCTAGCGAGGGGCGGCCCGCCGGCATCGGATGAGTGCTCCTCGCCGACGCCGGCAAAGGCGGCCCTCGCCCGACCCGGGCGAGGGTTGCCTCGCCGGATCGGGCGAGGGCGACCCTCGCTGCGTCGAGCAAGGGTCGCCCTCGCTGCGTCGAGCGAGGGTCGCCCTCGCACGGGCGAGCTAGGATAGCCCTCGCCCAAGCGCCGGCGAGGGCGGCCCTCGCCGACGCGGCGAGGGTCACCCTCGCCGACGCGGCGAGGGTCGCCCTTGCCCCGGGTGGGCAAGGGACAGCCCTCGCCAGATGCCGGCGGCGGCCGCTCGGCCGACGCAGCGAGGAAGCCCTCGCCAGATACGGCGAGGTCGCCGCCGGATCTCGCGAGGACCGCTCTCGCCCGAGGCAGCCGCGAGGGTGGCCCTCGCCCCCCGGCGAGGGCGGCCCTCGCCGCCTTCCGCCTCGGCCGGTCGCCGGGCCGACGGCGACCGGCCGAGGTTAAAGATGAAGAAAAAAAAATAAAAGGAAAAAATAAATAAAATAAATAAAAATTCGAAAAAAATAAAAAAATAATATTAAAATTTTAATTCAGGGTAAAATTGTCACATATGTACTAGTTTGGGGTTTTTTGTGGTAAGTTCAGGGTAAAATTGTCACAGGTGTACCAGTTTGGGGTTTTTTATGATCAAAAAAATAGTTCGAGGTAAAATTATCACAGGTGTACCAGTTTGGGGTTTTTTATGGTCAAAAAAATAGTTTGGGGTAAATGTGTCACAAGTGTACCAGTTTAGGGTTTTTCGTGGTATTAACCCTTGCAAATATTTGTATTGTGTGTCAAACATTTTCTAATATATAAATAATATTTTAAATGGTATTTGTTAATAGGATTTTTCAAACTTCAAAGTATGGACTACCACCAAATGAGTTTGACCGTTTGTGCGATGAACAATTTGCAGCATGGTTCAAAACATATGTAAGTTGCCAATGGACCAAAACCAAGTTATTAATATTTTATACATCATTTATTAAAATATATATTATTGACTTTGCGTGTGTGACCTTATGTTCACAGCAATCATGATCAAGTTGAAGAGCAAGGATTGCTATATCATCTGTTATGGGGTCCAAAGTCAAGAGTACGAAGTTGGCCAGCATATTTCATAAACGGGTATAATTTTCCCACTCAAGAATATGGAATGGGAAAAGCCACAATAAAAGTGGTGTGTGTGTTCGGTCATCCAATGGTGGCAGTTCAAAAGATAATTTTTATGGCTTGTTGGATGAATTCATAGAGATAGAGTACCATGAACCATTAATGCGGGTTGTGTTATTTAAGTGCATGTAGTTCGACCCCGTCAAAAGAATGAAGGTGAATACGAAGTTTAATTTGGTTGAAATAAATCATAAGAAAAGGTATATGAAATATGAACCATTTGTATTGGCACAATAAGCAATTCAAGTATATTATGCATCATATCCTAGTTTGAAACGTGACAAAGCTGATTGGTGGGCTGTATGTAAAACCAAAGCACGAAGAAAAATTGAGGAACACTGAAAGGATACGGCATATCAACAAGAGGAAGTTTGTAACACGGTTGAAACTGAGGAATATAACATTTCAATTTTACGAGATCCATGTGGAGCAATGATAGATGTAGTTCCAACTGAAATTCGTGAATCAAATTTAGAAGGTATTGCAGAATCTGATTTTGAGACAGAGGATGAAGATGATGATGATGCTCATGAAGAAGATGAAGATCAAGACGAAGACAAAGGTGAAGACGAAGGTGAAGATAAAGGTGAAGATGAAGATGAAGATTATGATTTTTGAGACTTTTTTTACTAATTATGTGTAATTATTATTATTATTGTGACATGTGTTTATTGTTGTTGTCATAATTATTATTGTTGTTGTTGTCGTAATTATTATTGTTGTTGTTGTTGTTATTATTATTATTATTATCGTTATTATTATTGTTATTATTATTATTGTTGTTGATCATTATTATTGTTATTATTGTTAATGTAATAGGTCGTCGCTAAATGGCGACAAGTCAAATACTATTCGTGCGATGACATTTGCGATATTTTATTTTCCATTGGATTTGGATCGTTGCTAATTGACAAAATTAGCGACGACATTTGCGACATTTTTATTTGTTGAATTGTTAAAAGGTCGTCGCTAATTTCATGGCTAATTTGTGAGAAACTGAATTTGTCGGAAAAATTTTTATTTGATGAATTGTTAATATGAAAGGTTGTCGCCGTCGTTAATTCCGTTGCAAATTAGTGACGGATTTGAATCCGTGGCTAATTAGGGCACGCATGGAATCCATTCTGCTCCAGAAATCAAATTCTTGCCAGAAATTGATTTATGGAGGAGAAATCTGTTTGATAAAATAGAACAAATTCTATTCCAGAAATTGATTTCTGGAAGAGAAATCTGTTTGATGAAACAGAAGGAAATTTTTGCTTTTGGAGGTGCCCAAAAATTTAAATTTCACTCAAAGTGGGTAGTTACATGCATTTTAAGTCATTCTGTGAAGTTTTAAAAAAAAAATTGATTTTTTTGGGCACCAAAAAAAATGTAAAATCACTCAAAGTGGGTGGCCACGGGTATTCTAAGCCATTCCGTGAAGTTTTGAAATTCTTTATTTTTTAATTTTTTTTGGGGCACCTCAAAAAATTTAAATTTCACTTAAAGTGGGTGGCCGCAGGTATTCTAAGCCATTCTGTGAAATTTTAAAATTTTTTATTTTAAAATTTTTTTTGGGCACCTAAAAAAATTTAAATTTCACTCAAAGTGGGTGGCTACAGGTATTCTAAGCCATTCTATGAAGTTTTGAAATCTTTATCTTTTAATGGGCACCTCAAAAAATGTAAATTTCACTCAAAGTGGGTGGCCACGGGTATTGTAAGCCATTCTATGAAGTTTTGAAATTTTTAATTTTTAAATTATTTGTTGGGCACCTCAAAAAATTTAAATTTCACTCAAAATGGATGGTCACAAGTATTCTAAGCCATTCTGTGAAGTTTTGAAATTTTTGATTTTTTTTATATTTTTTGGGCACCTAAAAATATTTAAATTTCACTCAAAGTGGGTGGCCACAGGTATTCTAAACCATTCTGTAAAATTTTTTATTTTTTGATTTTTTTTGGGCACTTCAAAAAATTTAAATTTCACTCAAAGTGGGTGGCCATATATATTCTAAGCCATTTTGTAAAATTTTGAAATTTTTAATTTTTTTTGGGCACCTAAAAAAATTTATATTTTACTCAAAGTGGGTAGCCACACGTATTCTAAGCCATTCTGTGAAATTTTGAAATTTTTTGATTTTTGATTTTTTTTGGGTACCTCAAAAAATTTAAATTTCAGTCAAAGTGGATGGCCACAGGTATTCTAAGCCATTATGTAAAATTTTGAAATTTTTGATTTTTTTGGGCACCTAAAAAAATTAAAATTTCACGTAAAGTGGGTGGCCACGGAAATAAATATTGTAGAGAAAATGCCAAGAGTAGTTATTTCTGTGGCTAAATCCGTGGTTAATTAGCCACGAATTTGAAAAAAAATAAATTAGTCGTGTGAGAATTGAAATTCGTAGCTAAATTCGTGGCTAATTTGCCACGAATTTCAATTCTCACGCAAATAATTTATTTTTTTCAAATTAGTGGCTAAATCCGTGGCAAATTAGCCACGAATTTAAAAAAAATAACTTAGTCGTGTGAGAATTGAAATTCGTGGCTAAATCCGTGGCAAATTAGCCACGGATTTAGCCACGAATTTGAAAAAAATAAATTAGTTGTGTGAGAATTGAAATTCGTGGCTAAATTCGTGGCAAATTAGCCACGGATTTAGCCACAAATTTGTAAAAAAATAACTTAGTCATGTGAGAATTGAAATTCGTGGCTAAATCCGTGGTAAATTAGCCACGGATTTAGCCACTAATTTGAAAAAAATAAATTATTCGTGTGAGAATTGAAATTCGTGGCTAAATCCGGCAAATTAGCCATGGATTTAGCCACGAATTTGAAAAAAATAAATTATTCGTGTGAGAATTGAAATTCGTGGTAAATTAGCCACGGATTTAGTCACGAATTTGAAAAAAAAATAACTTAGTCATGTGAGAATTGAAATTCGTGGCTAAATCCGTGACAAATTAGCCACGGATTTAGCCACGAATTTGAAAAAAATAAATTAGTCGTGTGGGAATTGAAATAGTAACCGATTTATCCATGAATTTGAAAAAAAATAACTTAGTCGTGTGAGAATTGAAATCCGTGACTAAATTCGTGACTAATTAGTCACGAATTTAAAAAAAATAAATTAGTCGCGTGAGAATTGAAATATTGGCATACGGAGGGAAAATCGAAATGTGCTCAAAACCAAAAGCCTCCAAGGCTCCAACTCTCTCTTCTCTCTCTCTCCACTTTTTGCTTTTGCTTCTCTCTCTCTCTTCTCTCTCTCTCTCTCTTCATCTGCGGTCCGTCCTCGCGGTTCCACCTCGATCAATCTCTCGAGCGCGTCGAAGCCGGATCGCAGCTCGGTCCCTCGATCGAATCGGGCTAGGGCTCGCCGTCGATCGTCATCTTCCCGGAAATGAGGTGATTCTGGCGAAGGTATGGCGCTCTCTCTCTCTCTCTCTCGCTCGCTCGCTCCCGTTCTCGCTGTTCCGCTTCGTCCCATCCCTCATTTTCCGGGATTTTTGATGCGATTCGTTGGAGGCGCGGTCGAGACCGTGGGAGCGGCCGGAGCGAGCATGGCGACGGTGGCTGGGCCGGGCTCGTTTCCTACGGATAAGTTCCATGCCGGAGGCGGCGGCGGCGGAGGAGGAGCTTCGAAGATTGGCGCGAAGCTGAGAAGAAAGACTCCGTCGGAGCTGAGAGTAATCCTCTAGAGATTTGTGGCGATTCGTTTGCGAAGTGTTTGTTTTTTTCTTTTTTGTGGCTGTGGTGACAAGATGATGCTTAGCTGGTTCTCTGGACCGCTTTGCTTTCGATGATGTATTTCTATGGACTGCAGCATAGCTTAAGATGTGACTCGCTCTGCTTGAGCATGTGACTTTTGTTTTGAGGCTCCAAAAGTCACTAGCGTTTTAAGTTGCCACGCTGATTCCAATTACTCTTGCTTTGTTTACTCGTGTCTTCAATTTGGTTGTTGAAAAAACTAAAGAAAATTGACGGCGGCGATGTATAATTAATGTGGCTCGACTGGATTGATGTCCTATACAGGGAGAGCAACTGAAGCGCGTCAATGTTGTTGAGCTTGTAGATGAATCTGCTGCCCCTTTACTTGACTCTCTGAAGTAAGTGTTTCACTGATCGTATTTGAGTTTTCATTCTATAAGCACGAGATTAGTCATTGAGGAGTGTTTTTTTTCTTCCACTGACAATGCCGGCACGAATGATGGTCTTAAGAAATCAGAAGTGTTTAAACTACCAAGATACATTGATACGCGAGTTAATGAAGTATATCTGCCAAAAAGTGAAGGTTTAAAATGTCATCGCCGAAGGAGAATGTGAAGGTAACTGCATTTTCCGGTATAATTAATAGATGTTCTAGATTCTGCTTTATGTCACTCATCTGTCTTAATTTCGAGAGCTTGAGCTTCGGGGGGGAGTTATTGTCTATCGTTGGCGTGCTAGCAAGATAAAAAGTTATTTCCTTGGTCATGTGCTCTTAAGCAGGAAACCGGTACAGAGGAGCAGAGTCATGCAATGAAGAATCTTGCTGTGCTTTCGAACATGGCTACAAGAAGCAAACAGTATCTTCAATGGTATTGATGAGATGCCCAATACTCTCTATATGTTGCTTAATGATTATTGATGAAGTCAGCACCTTCTTATATGTTTCGTTCCTCATATCCCTGCGGTTCCGAGGATTCTATTTTCTCTTCTAAAGTTGCTGAAAATCATGGAGTACAAACTCAGTCAACACTTGAGAGGTGTAACCAGAGTAGATTCCGTACAGTTGCCGAGATATCGTCTAGTTCCGAAAAACTATCTGGCTTGGCGAATATCGATATGGTAATTACTCTCATCTGTTTTCCCTTGAGCCGTTGGTATATCCTTCAGTAATATCACCACTATCTTTGTAGGATAAAGCTCTAAAAGGATTGGCTGCTCGAGAACCATCTTCTCATTTATTTGATGGTTGTTCTGAAAATTTTTCTTCTACCTCAACTTACTCGGGCTGCTCTCAATACAACATAGTTGGCCAAAAGGCTCCTCTAGATTTCACTTTGAAGACCGTCGTGCGGATTGCAGCATCTTCTTCAGTAAATTGCTAATGTCTTTTGCAGTTAATAGTGTTGTGAGGGCTTACAACTGCTTGGAGACTCCTGGGGCATTTCGTTCCTAATCTGGAGATATTTCAATTTTGGTCTTTACTCAATAGGGTCATTATGACAATTATTTTAAATCTTGTATTAGGGTTTGAAGATTTTTCCACTGCCTGTGCATGATGACTTCTTATGTAATTCTAAACGGCATTAAAAACATGGGAAAAAAATATACTTACACCAAAACCTGGTGCTGCTTGCACTGAAGATATCGTATGAAATGGGGAGCATCACTTGATTTGAGAAATTTAGGGCGCGTTTGGTAACGTTTCTACTTTTCTATTTTTCTGTTCTTCTGTACCCTGGAACAAAAAAACAACATAAATCTGTTTGGTAATGTATTTTATTTTTCTATTTCCTGGAATAGAAAAATAGCTAGGAAATAGATTTGGAACAGAAATAAGAAGTAGATTTTTTCTATTTTTTTGTTCCCAGAAACAAAAAAAGAAATAGAAAGGTTCGGTCCTCAAGCCGCGGCCTCAACTCCTCCTCCATCCTCCGTCATCTGTAGACCGTCTCAAAGTACCAGTTCGGTTCATTCCCGGTGAGAATAATAAAAAAAAATTAAAAAAATCCCAAAATTCCAAAAATTCATAAAAATCAGAAAAATTCTCAGAAAATCCATAAAAATCAGGAAAACTCAGAAAACCCATAAAAATTTGCAAAATTTTGAAATTGAAAATTTTTTAAAAAATTCATAAAAAAGTTTCTGGAAAGTAAAAAGAGAGATTTTGGGAAAGTAAAAAATTTTAATAAACTTTTCCCTAAAAAAAATCAAAAATAAAAAATTCACAAAATGGCTTAGAATAAATTAAAAAATTCAGAAAATTCATAAAAATTAGAAAAATTTCAGAAAAATCCTTTAAAAAATTAAAAAATTCCAAAAATTCATAAAAATCAGAAAAATTCTCAGAAAATCCATAAAAATCAGAAAAACTCAGAAAACCCATAAAAATTTGCAAAATTCCGAAATTGAAAAAAATAAAAAAAATTCATAAAAAAGTTTCTGGAAAATAAAAAGAAACAGATTTAGGGAAAGTAAAAAATTTTAATAAATTTTACCCCAAAAAAAATAAAAAAAATTTCACAAAATGGCGTAGAATACCTGTGGCCACCCACTTTGAGTGAAATTTAAATTTTTTGAGGTGCCTAAGTGGTATTTTTTAAAATTCCTTAGTTTAGGGATTAAAAGGGGTTTTAAACCCCTAAAAAGGATTAGACAAACCAATAAACCATGCTTATTGATTTTTTTCACTTATAACTTGTAGTTATAGTTAAATAAAAGATATAGATTTGAATGTAAAAAATTGGGAATAGAAATTTTTTTGGTTGTACCAAACGCATTTCTGTTCTTTTTCTATTTCAGGAATAGAAATTTTGTGCAGTTACCAAACGCATTCTTTTGCTCAAAAACTCATCTAGGAAATAGAAATAGAAAAAACTATTTCTGAAAAGAAATTGTTCCCAGAAACAGAAACGTTACCAAACGCGCCCTTAGCTGAGTTTTCTACTTGCCAATTGGTTCCTGAATCATTTTTTTTTTATTGGAAATGTCTGTTCTCATCTAAGAATATCAAAATATTTACTTTCTTAAAACATATAAATGGGTGGCACACTATTCTACAATCTGCATGCAAATTGACAACTTTGATTAATAGCACAAGTTGTGGCAAGGTTATTAATTTTCACACACCATGCTCAAGCATGGTGTTCCTTTACTCATGTAGTTCTTTTATATTGCTCAGGGTTTGGTGTATGCTTTCTTGTTGTCCAATTAACTTTTTTTCCTTCATTATTTCCAGGATTTACAGGTTAATTACAAATGGTAGTTACAATAGTGTTCCCAATCATACATCTCTTTGTGCTTGCTCTGAGGGTCAAAGAACTAGCCATTGTTCAAGAACCCACATTGCTTCCACGGGCTTTTGCTCTACGGCTTTGAATTCATGGATATATCCTCAGTCCACTCTTCCACTTTCTCTTATGTCAGTGCTGACCTCACCAGCTGCAGAGAAAGGTTTGTGAAATGAGATATAAGATATGGAGGGTCCCCCTGAACTTGTCACTAATCCTCTCCTTTTTGTTTAGTGGAGATGGACTTCTTAAAGAAGCGACAATTGTCATGGGAAGAGTCATTTCGCAGTCTTTACTACTTATTCCGGAAGAACTTATGTAGCGTATTTTACGGTAATTTTCTCCTCCTTGAGATGCTCAGATACTTTGTGGACTATCTCATTATCTTCTGTTGGAATATATGTCGAAGTCATTTTCCACGAATGTCTATGACGTAGTGCTGCTATTAGTTAAGCAATGCAAAGCTTTGCTACTTCTTCGTTCGTATAAGCAAGTACTTTCCATGCTTCTTTCTGATTTTTTCGTTTCAATCTTGGGCTAATGGCTTCTGTATATGTAAGTATCTCGAGTTTAGGAAGTTGTACAGCTAATTACCTGAAAATTTATAGGCTTAATGTAGGCCAAATCAATGGCATCTGAAAGAGCTCTTTGTGATGACAAACGCAAGCTAGTATTTATTAATTTGCTGGTACTCATGAAGAGCATGTTTTGTATTAATAATAACATTTCAAATATTTAAAAATTGGAAGAGGTATTTGTGCCCTTACGGTGCCTATAACTTTCTGCAACGTCTAGAGTATCCATGACTCTCGATGCTGCTGAATCTCTTACACAATGGATCTCTCATGACTTAATAAAGCGTCAATTCTAAAGGTAAAGCAGTAATTATGCCATGTGAATAACAGGACTTTGTTAGAAGGCCATTTCTCGCCAAGAACTATATCAATTAGTTCTTTCTGGTCATTATATAATCATCCTGTCTGTTGATTTGTTGCCCTAATATGCTATTTTATTCATGGGAATTAGTGTGCACTTCTCAATTTGTGGTAATGTTTACTGCTGATGGTGACTCTGGAAGAAGCAAAAGGACTTGCAGTGCTTACGTGTCCCGATTGACAAGAGGTCTGCGGTCATTGTTTAGAGCATGTAAGTCACAGCAATTGGTGTTAGCTTCTGTTGCTGCATGCACCTTTTACTTGTTAATAGTGCTTATTCCGTTCTGTCAAAATTTCCTAAGTACTGTCACTTGATTGAATCTCTAGTTTGGGATCACCTTCAGGGCTTGCTCAGCTAGCAGGAACCATATATGGGATTTGTCAAGACTATTTTGTTTAGCCTATTTTATTCAACAGAAGTTTATTCCCGTAAGGCATCATTGTCCTGTTGTTAGCATTCAATAAAGATATTGCTGATGCATACATATCTTGTTATCGAAATATCTGGCTCGATTGCAAGTTGCTCATTAGCCAAGTTGTATAAGTGATCCTGAGATCAGTATAAGATTACATTTATTGCACATTTGGACATGATCATGATCTGTACTTGTTGGCTGGGATTTAGTTTCCGTCTGATGACCCCTTATTTCCGATAAAGAAAAGAAAGAATTTCTATTGTTGGAGGTCTTATCTATCATATTGGTCAAGCTATCATTGCGAAGGATATGGCTCAATTAGTTGCAGTTGTCACATTGACCAAATTAGTCCCTTTTCTTGAACTTCCTGTTTTTCTGGAATAATGCCTGACCATTCGGTTTTGTCTGTTTTAATTAGGATATATGTTTTTCTATGGCTCTATGCCATTCGAAGGTGGAACAACTTGCTACGGAAGATCTGGTTGAGCTTTCAGAGACAGAGAAGCATAATTTAGGCCAGGTAAGGTTTGTGTCTAGTTATATCTTTGCCCTACTGCTCTCGCCCACAATGAAAACAATCTACCAAAAGCACAAACCCTTTTTTTTTGTAGACTCGCATCAGCGCCAAGGTGCAGAGGAAGGTTGCGAGGGAGATCAAAACCGAGGTTTTGACGAGGATTACGAGTATGAGGCCTTTGAGGGGACGGGTGGTGACATGGAATGAGTGACGCGATCTTGATGCCACCGAGGTTTCTGTGAGGATTGTCCATTTGACTTTTTGATCTCATCCTGGCATGCTCCTTTGACTTCTCTTTCTTTCTGTACTTTCCAATTTTGGGCAAGTTCATAGCGTTGAATTAGAGCAGACCATAGCTATGTAGAGATTTCTGATGTTGGATAAACTAGGCGCAAAGAATCATTCTTGTGGAAAATGTTGATGAATGTATTCATTTTCATATTATTATAATATTTTGATGTTATTAAGTACTTAATCAATGTTAAATATAAACTCTAGAAATTAATTTTGCTGTTAATTAGATTTAAAATCGAAAAATAAAAGAAATGATTTTATCATACGATCACAAATTATAAAAGTTCGTTGCAAAAATAAAATTTCGTTGCTAATTTCGTCTTTAAACAATATTCGTCCCAGAGTTAGTCGCTAAAGAATTAATAAAAATTCGTTGTAAATTCGTTTCGGAACAAGGTTCGTCGCAAAAGTCAAAATTTTCCGTCGCTAAATTAGCGATGAATTTTGCCACAAATAAGTTCGTTGCAAATTACCGACCAATAAAAAAAATGTTCGTCGCAAAATAGCGACGAATTTTGCCACGAATAATTAGCGACGAATTTTGCCACGAACAGAGTTCATGGCAAATTAGCGACGAATTTTGTCACGAATAATTAGCGACGAATTTTGCAACGAATACAGTTCGTGGCAATTTAGCGACGAATTTTGCCACGAATAATTAGCGACGAATTTTTTTTCGTCGCAAAATTTTATGACGCCTTATTAGCGACGAATTTTTTTTCGTCGCAAATTTGTTTAGCGACGAATTTTGCCAAATTTTTCGTGGCAAAATTCGTCGCTAAAACTTAATTTTTTTGTAGTGAAAGTTGTAACCTCTGCACAACAAAATGTTATTACAAACCAAATAATCTCTGGTCTTGAATAATCCAAATAATTAAACCAATTTGTAAACCCCATCTCCAACAATAGTTCATCAATTTCGCGCCCGTGTGAACCCTCCTTTCTTCCTTCTCCAACATTTGTCATTAATCCCCTTCTCAAACTCACTAAAAAAAAATGTATAGTTGGAGTCCTAAATGAATTTTCCATAGCAAGCAATCGGTATAGCTGGCATCACATCAAGATTCTTTATATAGGGATGCCAAATAAATAGCCTCTTTAGGTATTTAATAAATAAATTACTACCAGTACAACTGTCAGGGAAAAATTATACAAATATAGATATTTTTATAAATGAATTACTACATTTTCCCACACTAAAGACATACTTGTGGCCTTCATATTTGTCATCTTAATGCTTGAATAGGTATCCAGTCCTCGCGCATGTTTCTTTCTTCTGCCTTATAAATGAAGCATCTTAATCCTCCTTAAATAGTTCGCTCCACCATGCTTCACTGTATTCATATTCCAAAACAAAAACATAAAATTTACGAACATGTACCCATCAATTTAACTGTTCATAGTGTTCGTGATCATTCTTGTCTTCCTACAAGCTAGCTCCGAAGCTTTTGGGAAGACTAACAGTCGCAAACGTCAATAGTTTACCAGGAGCACCTCTGCTTACGGTTCAATCTAAAGATGACGATCTCGGCTTTCATCAGATCCATGGTGTTTTCATGTGGGAATCTTCATTCAAACCCAGCTTTTTTGGCAACACGCTGTTCTTTTGGAGCTTTCAATGGCCAGGCGTATTTCATCATTTCGATATATATGTTGAGGAGAGAGATGTTGAACGATGTGGCTACTGTATTTGGAATGTTAAGCCTGATGGTCCGTGCTTCCGCAACTCGGAATGTGAAAAATGGAATCCCTAAAACCTTCACGGCTGGCAAAACCTATGCTACAAAGGTTCTTAATGGTTAGACATTGATTATGGTTGAGATGATATTGCTAAGCTCCCCGTTGGATGAATAAAGATGGTCGTGTATGTTTTTTTCACGATGTCGATGTATGAATGTCCTTTTGTGCCTTTACTTCATGCTATGCAAGTGTAAGAAAAATCGATGGCATAGTTGTATCGTTTTATTAGAGGGAGAGATTTGGAGAAGAAAATGGAGAAGAAGAAAGGAAAAGCAATAACAAATAGAAAGTGGAGAAAAAGAGTTGGAAAAAAAAAATGGGAAGAAGAATAGGGAGAATACAACTCAACAGTTAAGTCGAGCGAAGCATTTGCCCTAATTGGGTTTTGATAATCACAAAAGGACCACCCAGGCCCACTACGTCCAAAACGGTCCTACGTTTGCAAGCGTAAAATCAAAAGAATGCGTGAATGTGGGGAGTTGATTTACATATTTGTCTTAATTCAACTAGTATTTTCGCATGGGCTACACCTGCGTGAAAATTTGGGTTTCTATTTAGGGCTAATATCACCAAAAACCCTAAACGGTACATCAATACTACTTCAAATTAATTTTTGTGTCACAAAAACTCCCATATTAGTATATTGTGCTATATTTACCCCAAACAAATTTTGTCATGAAAAATCCCAAACTAGTAGCTCGTGCTACATATATCCTAAACCGGTATACTCATGCCATACTTACCCCATATTATGGTAAATTAGGGATTTTTTCGGGGGTAAATGTGTCATAGATTTATCAGTTTGAGATTTTTTGTAACATAAAAATTAATTTTGTGTAAATATAGCATGGGCCTACTGGTTTGGGAGTTTTTGGGACATAAAAATTAACTTGGGGTAGTGTGGCACGGGTCTACCACTTTGAGTTTTTTATGATATATTCGGTGGCTGAAATGGATTGTCATCTAGTGAAGTGAAGGAAGTGGATGTTATAGAACATTTGCAATCGAGAAGATCCAGAGGTGAAATGGGTGGCTATCTACGGAAGTGGAGGAAGTGAGCAATGACACATGATATGCAGAATAAGAGAAGAAATCGTACGCTCTATTGTTGAGTATTAAATTAATGTGGTGATATTTTTTTTTGGTCGAAAATGTGGTGACATTGAACGGTCTATTGTTGAGCATTAAATTAAATGTGGTGACATTGAACATTTTGGTGGTGGAAACCAACTTCAAAGTTTGCCTTATAGGGTCTTATAGACAACGAAGCACTACAAAAGTAATATTTATTGGGAAAAAGACACCACAAGTGTCATAACTTACGTACGGCGTTCACTTGAATGTCATAACTTTTTTTCGATCATTTAAGTGTCATAATTTATGTATAACGATTACTTGAGTGCCATTACTTTTTTCTCCGATCATTCAAGTGTCATATAACTTTTCAATAGATCACCTAAGTGCCATACCTCTTTAAAAACGTTCACCATAAATGATATGCCATGTTGGATTTCAAGCAATTGGGGTGAATGTTTTTAAAAATTATTGGCACTTAAGTAATCAATTTAAAGTTATGGCACTCAAATGAACGTTTTTTTAAAAGTTATGGCACTCAGGTGGTCGAAAAAAAAGTTATAACACTCAGGTGAGCGCCGTACGAAAATTATGACCCTTGTGGTATCCTTATCCCAATATTTATTTTATTTTATTTTATTGGAGGTCAAAATTGAGCAGAGACTCCGTAATTTAAGTGGAGGGCCCTGGCGGTGGGTTGCTGGGCTAGTCTCCCCCGAGGTATAGGCACCCCGATTACCCGTGCAGGCTTGTCCCCGGGGAATGGTGGCGGATCCTCGGTTACCAAAAAAAAAAAATTGAGCACAGATTGAAATTACACCTTTGTGACAAACAACATCCTGCTCGGGAAAGAAGAAGGGGGGAGCAAATGCTAAAAAGAAAAGTGAATGGTAAGACATAAAGTGAAAAAAAGAAGGAAAAAAATTGTTGATATTTAAAAATTGCCTAATTCGTTCCTAAATTTCTTAAATTAGTTTACTTATGTGTAACATTGCAGAATGTTCTTATGCTGTGTAACTGTTAAATTGGCCAAAATACCATCAACGCCGATGGAAGCGACGACTTTCTTATGCTTCTGAAGTTGGTTCAACCCACGGCATTGTTAACCAAGTTCCTAACTTCCCATAACTTGTGCCCACTTTTCTTACATTTTCCCATTTATCTTCTCTCTCTTTTCAATTGAAAAACCCGAAATCCGCCATGAACACCGTCACCACATGATATTTAAGTTCCATCCCACTCCCTCGAATGAATTCGAAATTATGATGAAATAGTGAGCACAATCAGTGTCGGAAAAGCCCTAGCGATTGACAATATAGTCTATTTTTCCTTTTAGGAAAGTAATAATTCCTGTTTTTCATTTTACAAAGTAGTTAGATTACATGAGACTAGTTATTTACACACACAAAAATAGTTATGCGTCATGATTTTAAATAAGTCTATTTTTTATGCGAATTCAATCCATGCTCCCACCTTCAGGCAGTGATGATGATGAGTTGCTGGTTTGGGGCAGCAATAGCAGTGGTTCATTCACTATTAA